AAGATTTAATGAATAAAAAGAAAAGAGTTTCAGATTTCTTTCTTCCCACATTCTAAGCTAGGTCAAAATGTTCTTACCACAGAGTTCTCCCTTCACACCAAAAGCAGTGTGCAGCCTTCTGTGCCAGGACCATACCCAGGCCCTGGCAGAAAGCTATCATTTCTGCTGTAGTCTTTTTTCCTCCCCTAAATGGGAGATGATGGATTCACATCTTAACTAAATAAGATCACTACTTTTTTATGATTTAATTTTGATTGATGCATATTCCCTACCTAGCCCTCTGCCAGGTGCTTTTAAAGGTAGAAAAGAAGTATAAACTGTTCCTTTGTTCAGGGATCTTAAAGTAATACAAGACATAAATGTGAGAAATTTATAAAAAGTAATTCAAGGCAGAATATAATCCCATGCTTAATTGAGTACCCACCACACTAAGTTCTTTGCGAGTTCAGAATTGATGCATTAATACCAAGACTACAGTCCTGAAAATAAATATGCCAGAGGAATTTCATTCCAACATACATTACAAAGAACATTTGGTCTCCATGAGATACTAAAACTAAAAGTTCACAAAAGAGTGCTTACTATCTGCAACACATTAGCAAAGCCTTTTATATGCATGCATTTAATCTTCACATCAACCTCCTGAGCTACAGATAACATTATCATCTCTGTTTCTTTGGAGATGGGGAAACAGTCTTAGAGACACTATGCCACTTGCATTGGCTATATTGTTAACAGGTAGTAAAGCCAGAAATGAAACCTGAGATGTCTGATTACAGATTCTGTGTTTTAATCAATAGTTATTATTGGGGTAAGGAGGTTCCAGAGTTAAAGAGGACTTTTTCTCTGAAATCTCAGGACTTTTACTATGTTTAGGAATACTGTAAACCTCTATGAAAGTAGCATTTTTGCAAATATACTTGACCTCATAACCTTCTTATTTTAGCCATGGTTCTCCTAGGATTGGTGATTTTTAAAACATTACTAATGGTGAAGGCCCACAGTATCTTATGTACTCGACAGAAGGAGGGGGCTGGAGGTGGCCCTGGCTAGGTCTGTGGTGCCGTGGGGGCCACACCCATGGCCTCGGCCCTCAGCCCATACCCGGACATCGCCCAGCCCCCTCAGGTTCAGGCTGCCATTTGTAACTAGCCCAGTGTCCATTTGAAATGATTTACTAGACTTTTATTCTTCCTACTGCTGGACTATATTCAATTAAAACAAACAAACAGACATTATTTAAGCTTCTTCTACAAGCCAAGCACTGAACTAAGTGCAGGTCAAAAATGACCACCTGAGCAGTGAGTTCGCTGATGCGTGGAGCCTGTAGTATCAGGACATGGAAGGAAAAGCCTGCATTTTAGAGCTGCCTTTTAGCTGTGGGGCCAGGAGCAAATTTTTTAACTGAGCTAAGACTTAGTTACATCAAGAAACTAATAATAATGCCACTGCTCAGGGTAATTCAAGGACTAAACAACATCAAACACACACATATTAGGCCTTATTCAGCGTTCACTTTTCCATGGCTATATAACAGAGATTGGGTACTTCTTAGTGGCACCATAAGGCAGAAACCTCTCATGACATTCAATTTGTGTGATCTGGCCTCTCTGGAACCTGTCAGGGAAAGGAGTGGGTCAGCATGGCTGAGTCACCCTGTCTTGCTACAATGAGGCCAGTTATACATGGTGACAGTTTCAGAGTCCACAAGAGGGGTGACTATCAAGTTGTCTACATCCAGGGGTGAACTCTTCCATCTCCCACCTTCTGGAGAAGATTTATTGAAAACATACACAATATATATACACATGCATACACACAAATCTGAATTCCTGGAAGGCAGAAGAGAAGGGGAGAAAAGGGTTAAGAAGGTATACAAACTATATAATAAGTCCCTGAACCATCAATAATAATTGGATTAATTTCCCAAATGTCATGTAACTTTCTTATTCTTAACCTCATGTTCTGTGAGCTAAGATTTTATCTCTGGCTTAGCAGTGAACCTAGGCTCCCTAAGACTCCCTGTCTAGGACTTCTCAGCTCCCAGAGCTGGCCTGGGGTGATTATGGTACATACTAAGCATGTCCTCACTTGAGTCGTTTGCAATGTTCCTCTTTGAAGAATGAATTACAAGTGAAAGAGACAATGATGGAAGACTCAGACCCAACTCAGCAGCCAGAGCAAAGAGGTTATGAACCTGAGGTCCTACCTACCCAAGGAGTTCAGGTGGGAAATAACAAAAGTAGAACTTAGTCCTAAAGTTCCCACTAAGTGCCAGATATAGTACAGAAAAGAACATTGCTGAGTAAATGTTTTCTCCATAATGAAGTAGAGTGCTGAAGTGATTTGCCTAGACAACTAGTAAGTTATAGAGCTAGGATTTTAAAGAAGGTCTTCAGACTTCAAAACCAACTCCTCTCAACTACTCTAAAGATGATTCCCAGCCATAACCTAAAGGGGAGAGGCAAGAGCAAACCAAGGTCAAGGCCAAAGGCAAGGCCAGATATCAGATGTAGAATAGAGGGCAGAGCCAAGAGCTCAGAGCTTATCAGATGTAGAGATGCTAGTCTGTTTTTTCATCTCTGAGATGAGAACAGTAATAGTATTTATCTTCAAGTGTTGTTTAAGGACTCAATCAGGTAATCCATGTAAAGCACTTGCCACAGTCCCTAGAACATATGAGTACTCAGTAAATGTTGGTTTTACTTTTCATCTCAGATCTATGGTTTTAAGTCATTGACAGAGGAAATACATTTCTCCTTAAGGACTGCAGATTGTGTTAGCTGACCTCCATCACCTCACTTCTGTGGTTCCCTAGGGTGTAGACATTTTTTACCCTTCTCTCCCTTTTCTTTTCTTAACTTGTGTTTTCATACCACCAAACAGTAACCTTTAAATGCCTCATTGTTCTTAGCAGTTGAGCTATGCTTCTATCCCTGGTAGAGAGAACCACACAACCTGATCTTTTGCATTTTACAGGCAAGCTGACTTGGTCCAAATTCAAGCCCTGCAACTAGCTAAGTGGCCTGGAGCAAGTGAACCCATGGTTCCGAGCCTCAGTGCTGTCCATCTGTGACATGGGAGTAGGGAAGCCTACTTCACAGGCGGGCTGCGAAGGCAGCATACATCAGCCTGCTGGCACTGTTACTGTGTGGTTAAAGGACTCCCCTTCTGACGGGAACATACTTGTCATAGAGAATATTCTATCGCCTTTGGGACTTGAGCTTCTTGGAAGGTGCCAGACCCTCGTCCAGCCTGCAGCAGGGGTTTGCACTGGCCTCTCTTTGGGAGATGAAATAGCCCATAAACTCTCTGAGGGGCTGTCCTACACTTTCTCCCCAGCTTTACCTCTGCCTCCCCCCAGCATCTGTTGCTCAGACAGTCAGCTGCCAAGCTGTGGCCAAGTCTCTCCCTGGGTTCATTTGATATGTTACCACTTTGTTTTTGAAGAAAAGCCAGTGTCAGTGCCAGGCCCTGGGGAGGCAGATTCTGCCTCTACCAACTGCCAGCCATGTACCATCTCTTTTATCTTGCCCTGGGAGTCCCAGGTGATCCCATTACAGAGCATCTCTTACCAGACAGCTGCCACCAGGACCCTGTGGAGGCACAGACAGCAAATTCTAGGTTTTGTGGGACCAGGGCCACGCCCCGAGCACAGCTCTGTAATTCTGTTGAAAGGCCGGTGGTCATGTCTACATTTCTTGGTAAGGTTAATTATTTTCCTTATAACAACAGCTAGATGCTGTGAGCTTCCCTTGCAGAGAAAAGGGGGGCCATTCCCATTTAGTGAATACTTACTCTGCTTTGGGAATGGAGGAGGGTTTTACTTGTGTTAACACCTTCCTAGCCATGCAAGGGAGGCCTTATCATAATCCCCTTTTTACAGATGGGAAACCAAAGCTGTACAGGTTCCACTTCTAATCCTCACAACCACTGGATTTTTATCTGCATCCTGCATATAGAAAATCTGAAGGTCAGAGAGGTCAAGTACAGCTGGAAAAGGAGCAGAGTAGGGATTCAAAGTGTGTCTCTCTTAGGATTCCCTAACAACATGTCACCACTTAAGGACAGTGTGGACAACAAGAGCTTAAGCAGTATTTGAGAGGGAGAAAGGAAGTAGGCTTGCAAATCTGCTCTTTGCCCCCTGCCCAGGCTGGGAGCAGCAGTGGTCAGATGGGGAACCTGGGTGTCTGCGTCATGAAAAACATAGCCCTCAGCTCTTATCAACCTCAAGGTGATGGAGTGGTAGTGAATGTAATGTGAGGTATTTATGAAGTTTGTTGCCTTTGCCCACCTCAGGAACAGTGTATCTCAGGGTCTCAGGAAAAGTTTACATTAAAATTTGCATACTGGCAACCTGCAGGCAAATTGAACCTAGAAATATGTTTTGTTTTGTCCCGTGGTATCTTTAAAATTTCAGATTAATTGCTATTTTTTAATGCAGCAAGTCATATAGAGCTCCAAATTTCTTAATTGTCTCAAAAATCACAATCTGTAATGGCCCTGGGCCCCCATCTACACATGGCCCCATGGGCTGGAGCTGTGTCTGACGCCACAGTCTCCTCCACTCCCTAGTACCCTGTGACAGGGGGTGCTGGTCTCCCTGTAGCATCACCCTGCTCCCACCCATTTTCTTACACTAGAGGTAAGAGGGGAATGAACTTTCTTGGGATTTATAAAGTGGGAAAAAGATTAAAAGGCAATAAGGGAAAGTGCACGTTTCTATGTGAAAATAAGTATTTCTACACATTTATTCATACTAAAATAAGATACAACCAAAGATACAAACCAGACCCCCTTCCCTCTTTTTGGTTGTTGTTGGCATTTGATTTTAGCAGCATTCTAGCCACTTTTTTAAGACAGGGTCAGATGCAGCTGAATGTCTGCAGGCCAGCCTGGGAGCCTAGGCCCAGGACTGCTCCTTAGCCTCGCATGTGGTCCTGGGGGGCTGCCGAAGCTTTCCCATCATGGTTTTGCTCTCTTTTTTACACCTTCTCTAGGTGTTCCCTTCCCAAAGAACTTCCTTCAGATCTGCAAGAAGATCCTGTGCCGCCTTTTCCGGGTCTTTGTCCATGTCTACATCCACCACTTCGACCGGGTCATCGTGATGGGTGCAGAGGCCCATGTCAACACCTGCTACAAACACTTCTATTACTTCGTCACAGAGATGAACCTCATAGACCGCAAGGAGCTGGAGCCCTTGGTGAGTGTCACTGGGCAGAGATGTCACCCAGGTCACCCCAGGACCTGTGCAAAATGTGCACTAATGGGTAGTTGTTGGCTAGGGCTGCAGAATTCGATAGGCTTCAGAGGTCAGTTAAAGGTCAGAAGATGCCAAGATGTCCACAGCCACCAAATAAGTATTTTAAATTTCTCTCTGAGAGGTGGCAGAATATAATAGAATGATAGTGGTTTCATCCCAAAGGGAGTAGCTTTAATTCTCAGCTTCAAAACCAGTCACCTAATTACTTAATCTCTTCTATGGACATCTCTGATATTTGCTGTCATCTATTACACTGTTATCAAAAGAGATGATCAGAAGCATATAGTCAGTAAATACATTGTGAACATCTATTGTGTGGCAACTACTGTGCAGACAAAGTCAGGTAAAACTGCCTTTGAGCAGCTCTGATTCCAGCAATAGAGACAGAGGAAGCCCAGACTAGAGTGCAGCATCACAGGAACTTTGCTTTCATACTGAATCCCCTGGGACACAATTTTAATAGAATAATTAGGACCCAGAACATTTGATACAAAACTTTACTATTATCATTTAGGGGAATGGGGACTACATTTATTTTCTTCATACATTATTTTTATAGTTGGACTCAATCTGAGCTTTTGAAGTCAAGGACTTCAAAATCCACATCATATTTGTAACGTGTGGTATCTTCCTGGAATGCCCCATCACAGCTCATTCTAGTCGTCTCTGCTGAGTACTTTCGTAGCCAGTATAATGTACTGCTTTACAGTAAAATCACGCTTTTTTCCTGAAACAGTAAAAGTGTCACTTTTGCTAAATGTAGCTGATAGAGCAACTGCGTTTCATCCAAGCCCATGTGAGTGATGGTCAGAACGTGGGGGCAGGCTGTCATCTTTTACACCATATTCCTTTCCCTTTATGTACATGTTTCTAAAATATAGATTTTGTTATTATTTGTGTATGGAGAGGCCCACAAACCAAACTATCCAAAGACTGTTTGTTATGCTCACAGATCCCAAGAGAAAGGCACATTATGTCATGGGGGCCACACAGGGTAGCAGCCGGCTTGGTCAGAGGCAGAGGGAGCAGGAAGACATGGGCAAGAGCCTTTGTTGTAGTTTTCCTGGGAAGGAATGGGTAAGGCAGGCAAGCCAGCTTAAGATTAACTAGTTGGAATAATTTCAGTGGGCTCTGAGCCTAGGGGCTACCCTGGTTGTCTGGGACCTGGCTCTGGGGTGGTGACAGCAGGGGAATTGCAACCCTAAGTGTGAGAGGAGGTAGAGGAGGTGGTTGGGGTGTGCCTTCTGTTGGTTTGTATTGATTAGTGAGTGAGCTGCTTGAGGGTAAGTTATTTACTGTCTCGAGGAGTTGCTGGCCCTGGGACCTCCATGGTCAGCAAGACCCCAGATGATAAAGAATCCAAACACAAAAATTAAAAGACATGTTTAATACAGTGCAGTACCTGTACCTGGCAAAGATGTTGGTAAATGTCACGTATCGCCTTTAGAACCTGTGGACTTGAGATCTGTTACAATGCTATGAGAGTACATGGTAAAATACGTATACTTTTTGTGTCACTCAAGAATTCTGGAAGAAAGTAAGACTTTCTGGGTACACTTGAAGTATGTCATTGGCTAAAGAAGTGCCAATTTTCTTCATTTTTATTTACAACTGCTTTCTAGAAAGCTCGTGGAAGCAAGAACTAAGTTGTCTCTGAATTGGTTGGATAACTAGTGAGGAAAGAAGCAGAAATACATTTTGAGTGAGTATTACTAGTTTGTCCTCTATAATGGCTGCTGTGGGTAGACAGCTACTTGAAGAAGAAAAAGTTGTGCAAACAGCTCAAGGGAGTTAAAATCCTGGAAAGAGTGATAAAGCTAATTTTAGAAAATGTCAAGGACAAAGGAAAGAGTCCATAGGGGCCGTGGAAATGAAGAGAGTAGAGAAACCACTCTGATCTCCCAGAAATGGTTCTGGTTTTGGTGAGTTTAGTTTTGTTCTCATCAATTGACTTGTTCAGATGGAGGGGAAACACCTTCCCTAAAGGTCCACCAGGAGCAACAGGCTCTCCCAATCGTGCATGGTTCTGGTTGCACTGAGCCACAGCACAGGATAGATCTGAACACCAGTTTCTACTGATACAGAAACATAAAGGCCATTGTAGTGCAAAGCTGAGTGTAAGTCAGCAAGTAGAGAAGAAAGTTTTTCTCTTTGCCATAAGACAACTTTGTTATTTTCTAAAGAAGAGGCCACAGGGATTGCCTTGCCTGGCTGTGCCAGGAGCTGACCAAAGTCTCAGAGTCACAGAAAGGCCCCTCAAAACCCTACATTCTAGATAGGAGCCTCTTTGTGGGAAAAAACTATAACTGGATTAACCGAGAATGATTAACAATGAAAGTGAGCAAAAAGGGTATCAGTTTTGGTCCCTTCCCAGAAGCTTATATTTCTGTCTTGTTTCAAATAGTGTCCTTCCTACCTTTATGCTTTGTTAATTATTACTACAGGGAGACTAATTTTAATGCTTTTATATATTAATGGCAAGTGTTATTATTGCTTAATCGTCTGATATTATATATTCATTTTACACAAACCAAAACATATAAACAAAAAAGATATTGATTATACTTAGCAGTGTCCAGTGCCCACTAAGACTACTATACTTGTGGATTGTTATTACTGAAATGAGCACTTTCAATAGTGCTAGAACCCCTAACTTCTAAAACTGCTGTTGCATTGCACATGTTAAAATCAGTCACAGCATGTCAAATCAACACATTTTTATTTTTATTTGATTTGCATATATCAAGTACCCTATATATGCAAAGTAAGTTGCTCAGATGTTCTAAGTACAGAAGAAAGATATACTTTTGAGAATTTACAAAAGCACTCAAAAAATGTAAAACAATGACTGTCACTCATCTTAAGCCCTTGAAGGATGACAAAGAAGTCAGGCACTTGCTTCACATTCTAGTTGTACATTCTTTAGCCTCTACTGCAACTACAGGGACAGAGGACAGCGTTTGTTCCATCAGTTTCCCTCGGAACATCAGCATGCCCAGAGTTCCCACACCTCCAGTGGTACATTCCTGGTATCATGCCTTGGGATTCTGCAGTTCAGAATGTTTTTCTTTGCCATAGTTATACTATGGACTCCCACACTCTTCTCTCCCAGAGCCACCCATTTGCTTTTGTCTGATGTTGTATTGAGGGTCCAGCCCCCCAGTGAGGGTAGAGATTCAGTCTCAGACTGTGCTAGGGACAAAATTCAACTCTCTGGGTTCAGACTTTCTTTACTAACTTGTAATGATAAGCAAAATACTTGACTTTTCAAAGCTTCATCTTCCTCATTCATAGAATGAGTATAATGATAGAACTGTTGTAAAAATTAAATGGGTTAGTCACATGGTAAGTTCTTAAGAAATGTCAGCTATGAAGTGAGAGATAAAGAATGTAAAGTAGCTGGCATATAGTAAGCAGAGGCATCCCAGTGCTCTCTTCCTTAGATCCCACAGCCTTTTGTCATTTTAGTAATCCCCTAGATAGATAGCCTTGTAGTAGATAGAATTCATTGTATCAGTGTCTCCCTCTTTGAGGGCTGGCAGTGTACATGACATAAGCTTGCATTGCCTATGTTGCTTGGTACATAATAAATGCTAACTGTAGTTTTGAACTGAGAAGAGTAGTTTGTGGATGGCATACCTCCATTCAAAGGGACTACACATGAGATGTTGGTTCCTTGGTGCCTCCCTCATCTTAGAACATGCCTGCAGACCTACTCTCATCCATTATTAGAGGTAATGCTTCATCCTCTCAGATTACTCATAGAGATTAAAAGCAAAATAAGGTGCAGAGCAATGAAGATAGACCTCATCAGTCTTCAGCCTGACACAGAAAGGTGGGACCCTAACTCTACTCAGTTCTCTGTTCTAGATTCTAGCTAGATCACTCAGGGAATATTAAATGTTCTCACACTGCCTGTGTTTCATGGTGTGTCAGGCAAAAGGGGACCGACCCTCCAAAGCATTAGCACTAAAAATCTCATGTCCTGGGAAAACTCAGTCCTTGGCAAACTGAGATGAGTGGTCACTCCATCAGGCCTCTGAGTGGGAATACAAACTGGAATTCAGAAGCTGGGAAGATGTCCCCCTGGCCTGCACACTGAGAGCTTGCCTTATGGCTCCCTTTGGGACTTGCTGGTCAGCAGCAGCCTGGGAACCCAGGGAATCACATGCCATTTCATTTGGTCTCCAACAGGGAGGGGGGCTGGAGGACTGACACAGACACAGCCATGACTAATGATCCATTTCTCATGTAAATGCAAGTTGAACTCAAGCAAGTTCACAGTTGGAGGGAAGGAGTCCAAATGATGCTGGTAATTAGAAAATGGTCCAGGCCCTGATTGAATAAGCAGGCTGCTGTTGGCCTTTGGCAGTCTGGGAGTCAGCTTACAGAATTAAGCTAATCAGAATTATTGTTAGCAAATACAGGCAGCCAACAGGGTTTTGTTGGCCTTTCACTACAAACAAAGGCAGGCTCAGAGAGGGCTGTCAGTAAGGCAGTAGCCACTGAATAAGGAGCTGATTAGGGAGGAGGAAAGAGGGTGGAAAAGTGGGAGGGGTAGGGGAAAGACTGTAGGGTGCTTGTTTACCCTAATGCACCTGCTGACCCCTGAGTGACCTTGGTCTAGGGCCTTCACCTTCTCTCCAGGGCTTCATTTCCTTATTCCTAACAGTAAAGGTGATTATACCATCACCTGCCTTGTAGAAGTGCTGCTGTAAAACCCAGCAGGGCTGTTGGCTTTCATTCAACATCACAGGGCTGTTCTGTCACCTTATAGCAGGGTGCTTGGGCCAAGTCAGTGCTTCTCAGTAGGGCTCTGCACACCAGCTACATCAGAATTCCCTGGAGATTATTTAAAAATGTGCACCCCTAGACATTACCACAGATACACAGAAATCAGAATTATTGGGGCTAGTATCTGGTACAATGCACCCTCAGTC